TGAGAGCTGCCGTAGGTGTTTGTGATGGCAGATGGTATTGTTGGCATTTGTGTGTGTGCGCAGTGTTTGTTGTCGAGCGTCTGAATGATGTAATCCAGGCATATTTTCTGTGTGTGGACATTCCAGATCCTAATAGCAGCATTCCACTGGACGGCAGGTGACTACAGTTGCCATGACAACAGGATTTAAGCTCTTACACTAAAATTCCTCTTAAAGCGACAGTTGATACAAAATTCAAGATTCCAGCATTCAGTGTGCTTTTCTACTACATAATCAATATGCTTCTATTTGGCTCACTTTTGGGGGCTTTTCCACAGCATTCTATAGGGGAATTACCAGACTACGTCACACATGATGTCACACGGGTTCAACCACGCATACCGGTTGCAAAAAAAGACCAGTTGCAATAGCAAACATGTCATGTTGTGCAGTAGGATGCCAAATTCGAGTCTAAAACTAGAAAACTTGTATTTTTACTGTACACCACACTGCTTTTAATGCCAACCGCAGACTTCTTTCAGTCTTTGGCTAACAGCCATCATAAGAGCTAAATGGAGTGAGGATCCATAGATATATACATTAGATGTCACCCACCCTGCTGTTGTCTATTAGAATGAATGCGTCAAGAGAGCCACCATTTTAGTAGGGTAGCGCTCCTTTGTAATGAATGCGGACCTAGGTGCAGTGAAAGACTGTGGCCATCCAAAGACAGATATATATACACATATACATATATAACTATGATCGCAAGTTTTCCCGGTGGTCTGTATGCAAATATTTTTTTAAGATACGAAATATTATAACTTTACATCACTTTTCTACTTTGATGGATGTGAGCCCACAAGCATTGCCGACAAAGAGCATGTGTTTGTGTGTGTAACGGAGGCCAGCTGGTAAGTGGTAAACATCACTCAACTAACCTCTAAAGGTGCTCTAGTGACAGGCCATGGTCTTTAGCCTCCTTGTTAGAGCAAACGACTCCCATGCGGAGGGTCGCCGGTTCGATCCCAGCTTGAAGCGGGTTGGGTGGTGTAGGACTGGCAGGGTTACATTGGTGCTGTGACCCGGATGGTAGTGAGGTTTAGGGGGTGAGTGTAATGGAGGCCAGCTAGTAAGTGCTGTGCAGGTAAACATCACTCCACTGACCCCTAAAGGTGCTCTAGCGACAGACGCTAGAGGCCATGGTCTTTAGCCTCCTTGTTAGAGCAACCGACTCTCATGCAGAAGGTCGCCGGTTCGATCCCAGCTCGAAGCGGGTTGGGTGGTGTAGGACTGGCGGGGTTACATTGGTGCCGTGAACCGGATGGGAGTGAGGGAGTGAGGTTTAGGGGGGGTGAGTGTAATGGAGGCCAACTAGTAAGTGCTTTGCAGGTAAACATCACTCCACTGACCTCTAAAGGTGATCTAGCGACAGACGCTAGAGGCCATGGTCTTTAGCCTCCTTGTTAGAGCAACCGACTCCCATGCGGAAGGTCGCCGGTTCGATCCCAGCTCGAAGCGGGTTGGGTGGTGTAGGACTGGTGGGGTTACATGTACATGGAAATGCATTATCCTCCCTCTGTTTAATTTGATCTAATCCATGTCCTGAAACACACCCCCTCTCCCGCTTTCACTTCTCATTTTAACAGGAGCGGTTTGTTTGTGAATGAATCTCCGTTTATTCACTTAGTCGACAAAAAAAAAGTTTCTAGCACCACAGTATCTTGTTTTCTTATTTCATAACATTGTTTGCTTATTTTGTTCAACAAAACTAGCATAAGCTTAGAATTTAGTGCGAGTTGGTGCTACTTTGCCTGATGGTGAGTGCAGTAAGAGACTGCATTATCATCAATAACATTACTTGTTAAGCACAAAAGTTCATAACATACAAAAACATAAAAAAAACGTAATCTTACTTATGAAATGTTCTGCCTTTATGCTTTGTTTTCTTTGTTTGCTCGTTACTACACCCGTACACAGCACTATAGTCCAGCATCTTTACATTGGCACACTGTCTTAACTGCAGTTGAATGACATTTGTCCTAGGAGCACTGTACAAATGTGACGGCGCTATTGACCCATGCTCAGGGTCCCTATGTGATATCTAGTGTATATATCTATGGTGAGGACCTAATTAAAACTCTGCAGTTCTCATTACATGTCAGGTAAGTTCTCGCTATCTTGAATCATAAACATTACTCACTTTTCATTGCAGCAATGATTTCAGCAAAAACAGTTAAACATGGTTCATTAAACTGCGGACACTGAATGCTCAGAATGAAATGTAAAAATGTAACCTACAGTTCGCTGTCAGAATGCTGTTGTTTTGCTTGTTGATGATTACCATCCATCTTTTTTCCTTGTCTTTGGCTATAGGCAGAACCTCGGTTTTTAGCACTACATAGTTTTGAATCTGGTAATCATGGAGCATTATTTCTTGCACGTGACCACACAGAACAACATTGTTGGCATTCAAAGACTTGTAGGCCTTTAACTTCTCTGTTGTAAAATCACTTGGAGCTTCAATGAGATAGTATATTTCGGGCTTGATGCTTGGCCATTTTGTCTTATCCAATATTCATTGGGAGGGTGCTATTGCAAATGAACCTGTCATACTAACGCTGCTCACTTTAACGTTAATTTTGCTGAATTACTGTGCTTATCACTGGGTGACAAGCTGTTATAATACGCTGAATGCATTTTGTAAATATTATAATATGTAATTAATATATATTATCTCTAATACAACAATTAACTTTGTACCGCATCGGATGTCATTTCCTCATTGTAAATGCTAGCGCTCCCGTTTTTTTTCTGCAACCTCGCTGCGCGCACATCCTGAGTGTTTTTAAACTGGTAATTCGTCCATACCTATTATCTGGTATGTTTTTTAGGACCAACTTGGGTCAGGTTACAAGTGAGCTTTACTGTTACAAAAACATGATGTATACACACTGCAGATCACAAATTATTCAGAGAGAACCCTCACTACGAGCATCGCTTTTAGCATGAGACCGTCTGTGTGGTTTGTGCTCTGTGTTTGTTTGTGTTGTGTTTGCGATGATGTCATGGCAGTAGAGGTGATGCAACTGCTTTAAGAAAGTGCAGGATCAAAGTTTAGTGCTTTTAGTGTCACTGCTTCTCACCTCTGGGATAGGCTCCCACTGGAGATTAGGTCAGCTCATGATGTGATGACTTTCCCCTCCCTCTTTAATACAAGCTTTTATTCAGCAAACCTTTAACTGTTCATTTATTGTTTGTTTTTACTGATATTATTCTTTATTGTCTTTATTCTTTTAATCCTGTTTATGATATTTGCTGTATTTCACTGTTACATGCTAAAGAGCGTTGCAAGAAATTGTGTTAAAAAACATTACCCTACCCAACCTTGCATTACTTCACCTAACTATAGTGATTATCCTATCTAGCAGTACTAAACTGGATTGGAAAATCAAACTGAGGCAAACACAATCAAACAGAATTGAGCTGACCTGTGCCAAAAACGTAGTATAAAAAGTGGCTTTAATCACCCTACTTTTATTCCAAACTCATATGAGGTTTTTTTCAAAATGTTTGTTGAAAGTCTTCAACTTTTGACTGCCTCCAAAGGTAGGTTTTATTTGCAATGTAAACACTCATGAAGATGTATGCATTTTAAGAGCAACAAAAGACCAAATTCTCTCTGCCTGCTGACCAAACACCAGTGGTGTAAAGAGTACTGCAAAATCCTGCTTAAGTAAAAGTACCATTACTTGCCTAAAAATGTAGTGCAAGTAGAGTAAAAGTATCTGGTGTAAATATTACTCAAAGTATGAGTAAAATGTACACATTTCAAAAGTAATTTGTGGATGTGTGTAAACGTAAAATTCTGTAGTGCATTTAGTTATTGCCCAGCAGGCACACGACGCTATAAGACGTTAATTATCGTTAATATTTGAGGTCCAATAACGACGTCAAATGACATTAATATTTGGTCTATTTTAGATTGTGTTGGAAAGTAACCAAAATCCAACGTCGAGCCAACATCTTAAACCATCTTATTGACTAATACTGATACTGACTAATACTGACATTTATTTGTCAGGTATAGCAACCAAAATCCAACATCTGATAGATGTCATAGTGGTTCATAGTGAGGTAGTTCATTATGATACAATTTACCTCTTTATTTCTATGTGCGATCTGATTGGTCAGGAATCACAGGACTGATTTTTCTAACCCCCATAGACAAGAAAAAGTAGTGACTGCAGGTTGAAAGAAAGTAGTGGAGTAAAAGTACAGATACAGCACTAAAAATATACTCAAGGGTGAAGTAAAAGTACACATCTTTAACCTCTAAAGGCCCGAGGTGTTTTTTACATGCATTTTATATTTCTCTTTGCTATTTGGGCTTATTTGAACCTAAGTAGAATAAAAGAGAAAAATGATGTCCATATATGTGGACTCGTAGTCCGAATTTCCATAAAACACCATGAAGTCACCTTTGTATAATAAAATGAAAAACTCTTTATTTCTGCCTTGAACACAGCAGTTTTTTCCTGACTGCTTTTGATGATTAATAGCACGTACACACATATTTTTTTTTAACATGTTTTGACTATCAGTAAAAAGAACATTTTATGTTATATAAAACATAAGACTTGAAAACTAAAATGTGCTTTCCACATATGTGGCCACTAAACACTAGGAAAGGGGTGGCCAGCCCTGTTCCTGGAGAGTCACCTTCCTGCAAATTTCAGTTGCTACCCATATCAAACACACCTGAACCAATTAATTAGGACCTGAACACCACATGATAATTACAGGCAGGTGTGTTTTGATACGGGCTTTGATAGGATGTGTTGGTGAAAGTACACCAAAACAAGGTATGTTATACCAAAACACATGAGGCACAGGCTCAACTGTAGCTGTTATAAAGATGAGTTCACAGGCTGACCCTGATAGATGGACATGTTCAGCAATAATAAACCTAATGTTTCACTGTTTTTACTGTACGCCTCTTGGTCTGTTTTTGTTTGCAGGCTTTTGTAAAGTGTCACTTCGACTATGACCCCTCTCATGACAACCTGATCCCCTGTAAAGAGGCTGGACTTAAATTCAGCAGTGGAGACATCCTACAGATCTTCAACCAGGAGGACCCCAACTGGTGGCAGGTGTGTGTGTGTGGTTCAAGTATTCCTTACATTGTGACCCCACAACAATCCAAATATCTGAAATGTATGATGTTTTGGGGGCTTTTTTTGATTATTTTTGGGTTTGTTTGAGGCTCGTGCTAGAAGAGAGAATATAGATTATATATATATATATATCAGTATAGGTGGCGCAGTGGGTAGCACGTTTCCCTCACAGCAAGAAGGTCACTAGTTTGAGCATCAGCTGGGTCAGTTGGCATTTCTGTGTAGAGTTCGCATGTTCTCCCGTGTTTGCGTGGGTTTCCTCCAGGTGCTCCGGTTTCCCCCACAAGTCCAAAGACATGTGGTACTGGTGAATTGGGTATGCTAAAATTGACTGTAGTGAATGATTGTGTTGACCAGCGATGGGTTGTGGCTAGAAGGGCATCCCCTGTGTAAAAACATATGCTGGATAAGTTGGCGGTTTATTCCGCTGTGGCGACCCCAGATTAATAAAGGGACTAAGCCGAAAAGAAAATGAATGAATGTATATCATTATACCTATGGAAAGGCCCCATAAAACACAGAAACACAGTATATGTGTGTGTGTATGCATGTGTGTGTCAAGGCCAGTAAACAGAAAAAACCCAAATGTAGGTGAAGACAATGATTTATTGAAGAAGGCAAAAATTCTAACAGATCAGTTCATAAGCCAGAATGCAAAAGTTAAAAAAAATCTTCTAAAGGCAATGTCTCAGTCTCAAGGGAAAAATACACAAAAACCTCAGTTCGACAAATGGGAAAAAATGCTCTTCAGCAAGCAGTCCTCTCAGCCTGATCAAGAAAGAACAAAAAAAACTATTATAGTCCAAAAAATGAACAACGAAAAATGACAAAAAAAAAAATACTTGCAGACTTTGCTGGAGGGGAAGAGAATGACTGGAAATAACCAGAAACCAAAAAATAGACTGGCCAGTAGAAACAGAGGCAGGTGTAATTGTCAGAACCACGCCAGTGTCCAGGACATCAAAAACTCAGGCAGCACAAGAGCAAAAACTTCGGGCAAGCCAGGGACTACACAGAAAGGCTGGGAAGGTAAGGAGAGAGTCCTGGAGTCAAACAGAAAAAGGTTAACTAAAAACATTAAGTTTACCTATAGTTGATGTTGCAGGGTCAGCAGCAAACAACAATCTGGCACTGAACAGCAGAAACCAAGAGAATAAATAGGGGAGCTAATGAGGAGAAAATAAGCAAAGACAGGTGAAGCAAATCAACTAAAATTATGAGAACGAGGAGGTGGAGAGAAACAATCAGGAGCACAAACAAAGGAACATGTGGCTAATACAAACAGAACAGATAGAACCAGCCGATCAGCCAGGAGTCCTGACAGTGTGATCTTTAAAGAGGACCTATTATGCAAAATTGACTTTTATAAGTTTCATGCTGGATTTGCAGGACAGGATGGGTTAAGACATGTCCAATACATCATTTCCAAACCACTTATGCTACTTCAAATGTTGTGTAACACTTTACAATAAGGTTCATTAGTTAATGCATTTACTAACATGAACTAATCATGAGCAACACATGTACAGCATTTATTAATCATAATTAAACATTTACTAATGCATTATTAACATCCAAGTCCATGCTTGTTAACATTAGTTAATGCACCGTGAGTTAACATGAACTAACAATGAACTACTGTACTGTATTAACTAACGTTAACTAACATAAACGAATACTTTAATAAATGTATTGTTCACTGTTTGTTCCCGTTAGTAAATGCATTAATTAACATTAACTAATGAACCTTTGTGTAAAGTGTGACCAAATGTTGTTATTGATTTCAATTGTGCATTCTGAATGTGCGTGTTAACATGCTGTAGGAGTAATGTTTTTAAAGTTACTATTGTCTCTGCTTTGTTCACAGAGATGAGAGATGTGTCATTCGATTGACATAATATATTTCAATTATGATAAATATTAAAAATTGTGAGGCCGTCACGGTGGCTCAGTGACAGTTAGCACTGTCGCCTCACAGCAAGAAGGCCACTGGTTCGAGTCCCGGCTGGGTCAGTTAGCCTTTCTGTGTGGTGTTTGCATGTTCTCCTAGTGTTGGCGTGGATTTCCTCCTGGTGCTCCGGTTTCCCCCACAGTCAAAACACATGTGCTATTGGTAAATTGGCTAAACTAAATTGACCATATGTGTGGGTGTGAATATGTGTGGGTGTGGGTACTGGGTTTATATGTTGTGAAAGGGAGTTTTGTGTGGTGGTCTGACCTTGACTCTGGTCTCCTCATCTTTAGGCTTGTCATCTGGAAGGAGGCAGTGCTGGTCTGATCCCCAGTCAGCTGCTGGAGGAGAAGAGAAAAGCATTTGTCAAGAGAGATCTGGAGCTTGCAAGCACAGGTAGGACACAGACCTCTAAATAGAGTTTATTTTTATTGGAAGTGTGGATGTTTTGTATATAAATAACTTAATTAGGTACACCTTACTTGTACCAGGTTGGACCCCCTTTTGTTTTCAGAACTGCCTTAATCTTAAAAAGGTTCTGGAAATATTTTGGTTTTGGTCCATATTGACATTATAGCATCACGCAGTTGCTGCAGATTTGTTGATGCAAATCTCCCATTCCAGCACATCTCTAATGTGCTCTATTGGATTGAGATCTGGTGACTGTGAAGGCCATTTGAGTACAGTGAACTCATTGTCATGTTCAAGAAACCAGTCTGATATGATTCGCGCTTTATGACATGGTGCGTTATCCTGTTGGAAGTAGCCATCAGAAGATGAGTACACTGTGGTCATAAAAGGATAGACATGGTCAGCAACAATGCTCGTATTTGCTCAGCTGTGGCATTGACACAATGGTCAGTTGGTACTACTGGGCCCAAAGTGTGCCAAGAAAATATCCCCCACATCATTACACCACCACCACCAGCATTGTGTAGCATTTTTTGCAGTGAAAACACTGGGTTTTACATAAACTATTTGTGTTTGGGCCACATAAAGTAAATAATTTAACTTAGTTTCAGCTGATTTTAAATAAGTAGTTTGAACAAACAGCAAACATATTTTTTGAGTGTATAGTGTATTGATATTTAGCTAATATTTTTACACATTGTATTTAAGTCTATTACAACATTAGAACATGAGACTGATTACAGTGACGCTCCAGGGACAGACGAGTCTTCGCTGAGGCCAGCTTTCAGCCTCCACTGCTGAGACTGCAGCTCTGCACAAGACTTTTGGCCAGCGGAGACATTAAAACTGAGTCTGGTTCTCTCAAAGTTTTTTTTCTTCACTCGCCTATCGGTGGTTTTTCTTCCCTCTCCGCTGTCGCCTCTAGCTTGCATGGTTTTGGATCGTAGAGCTACAACATCGATGAATTTGCTCTTCAGTGTTTGGACTCTCAGTAATGATTTTAAACCACACTGAACTGAGCTAAACTGAACTGAACTTAAACACTAAAAAACTGATCTACTCTGTTCCAATTACTATGACCATTTATGTGAAGCTGCTTTGACACAATCTAAATTGTAAAAGCGCTTTACAAATAAAGCTGTATTGAATTTAATTGAATTATTATGAAACTCTTAATTAATTTACCCAAACGAATCCCAACAACTGCACCATGTCGCATATTTTTGCGTTGTTTTTAAAATGGCACAACTTAACTGTGCACATTTTGGTTTATTTTCCTAAATTAAGAATCACTCATTCTCTTTATAGACCTGACATATGATGTAACAGTTTATTACAGGAGTTAATAACGTATACCCAGAGGAATAGACAGATGTCAGAGCATCATGTGTTGAGTCTGTGTCTCCAGCCACTCAAAGCCTTTTTTAGAAATGTGCTGTTAGGGAAGGATTTTCAGCATATTCATGAATCACATAATCATTTTAAAATATCATTCAGATTGGGAAATAATACAAACATAAAAAACTCTGATGCATTTTGAGTTAATTTAATCCACAAAAATTGTATTTCCTTTATAAGATTACATAATAAATTTAATGATACATGTTTTTGTGATACTCAGTTGGATGCAGATCATCCCTCTAAATCATTATGAGCAATTACCTCATTGTATTGTATGACTAACATTTATGATCATCTAACGTCTTGAAGCAGCACTGAACTGAGAGTAGTGCCCCCTTCAGGAAAATCAACATTATCAAACTTCTATTCTTCATTTTAGGAACAAGCCATTATTCATTTGCATTATTAAATGACATTGATTTAATGTCATTTCAAACCCACAGTATGCTATTGTAATGAGCCGAGGGGTTTGAAAAGTGTGACCTGAGGTGTGTTTGACTCCTGCAGCAGACAGGACAGGAGTCACACTGTGAGTGTATACTAGCAGGATGTGTGCTGATGTCCGCAGGGCCTCTGTGTGCAGGGATAGGCGGTAAGAAGAAGAAGAAGATGATGTACTTGACCACCAAGAACGCCGGTAAAGACGACTGCTCCAGGGCATGTGCCGTATACTCTCGTTCTCTGTTGTGTCTCGTATTGAAGTCTGCTTGTTAACATATTTCATGATAATGGGCTTAAAGTCAGTTCCATTTCAGTAAAAGAAGAATTGCATTTTATTTAAAGAAAATGAAAGCTGTGGTACTGCATTCTCCAGGAAAAGGTCACTGTAGAAAAAATATCTGTTAATTAACTGTTTCCACATTTTGTGATTCACAAGTGTTTTCTGTTTATTTACGGTTGTGAATTGGATTATGGGACCTTGATCTCTGCTCTGTCGACTTTCGATGTTGAAAATTCAACTCTACAGTTTAACAGGATTTTTATTGACATTCTATTAGTTTGAAATAATGAAATGTATATGAAATAATATATGAATTAGTCTGTGAAATAACAGAAAATGTACCGGCAGTTCATTACAAAGTTTTTGTACTGTAATATATAACACCAACCCAGGCAATATATCACTTTAAACTATTAAAAATGTTTTCATTTTTCTCAATTGCTCTGGCTCAATTTTTGATTTATTATTTTTTTTATTTTTCAAAACTAAACAAATTTTTTTAAAAGGTTTAGATCTCTGAACAATTAGCTGATTGTTTACATCAGAGTGGCATTTCTTATTGATTTACAGTTTTTCTTGTTTGTTTTAATGCAGCCGTCAACTGAAACTCCACCTTTTCAAAACAGTTAACACACAGGCCTAAACAGCGGCACTCATGGTCAAAATGACACATTTTGCTTGCAAAACGCACATACCGTGTCAAAACCTTTACAATATGCAACAAAAGCTAGTTTTACCTTCAAACAACACAACTTGCAAACAAGTATATGAGCTCTTTCAATTAATCATTACACAGTTGACAACAAAACACAAAGTACAGAACTCAGTGTGAATCAGTGCACCATTGCTTGACATTGTAGCCTATTGCCAAAGCCATTTGTTGTCTTTCTATTTGGGCTGTCAAATTTGCCTTTTTTCAAAGAATTGGATCCAGAATAAGAAATGCTTTGATTAAATTTATATTGAATTTATGACATTTTTCAAATTGTGGCTGAAAACTGAAATACTGTAAAAAAACAAAAAACAGACAAAAGTAATAAAGTACTCTAAATATTAGAGAAACATGTAAACCAATTTACAGTCAAATCTTTTGGGAGTATAGGACATAGCCACTATTGACCTTCTCCATCCATGCTGCCACAGAACAACACAGACCTTCCACCGTTTTCAATGTTTGCAGACTGATTACTAAATGAAGATTTGTGTGAAGGAGTGTCAAACCGGTGCTTCAGTGAATTCATACTGATCTTGGTAGTTTCTAATGGTTAGGAATAGATGGTTTCTGTTTGGTTACCATGGCTAAAACAATGGAGTTTGGACCGCTTGAATGACATCCGTGTTAACTGTTTTGAAAAATGGTGGGGAAAATGTGTCAACCCAATGAGAAAGGGCTCTGCTCTGCTGGGATAGTGATAGTGGAAATAAATTGGAACCGTGTTTCTTTAACCAGGTCAAAGCAAACAAGAAAGACTGTAAGCGAACTGCAAATGCTTTGGCGCATGTGTGCAAACAGTACAATTGTCTGTCGTTTGGACAAAAACTAATTGCATATGGCTTGTTGACCAAAATTGATGAATCAATTCTCATTTAAAGTGTCAAACTTTTCACAAATTCTCAATCATTTTTCATTGTGTAAGCCATCATACTCAAAACAGACTATTCAATAATCAAACATTTGTATACGCATGTTGACACCATAAATATCTGATATTGACATTGTTTGTAATGTCTGAAAAATTGATAAATTACCTCTAATTGCAATACAGTTTCCATAATCTGTTTAGCCAATCAAGTTTGGGAGCATATTTATAACACAATCACAAACTTTAAATGGAGAACGGAGAACTTCCACAGTCCTGAACTGCAACAAAATGCTTGGGAAAGAGCAATTGGAAGACGTGTAATCTAGCAAGGACAAAAAGAGCGACATGATGCCCACCAAGAATTCATTTTTTCATGAGAGCTATTTTTTTATTATACAATACCGAAGATAAAAAAAGATTGCACTTTACACGTAATACATTCATACAAAAATAAATACTGTATTAATACAAATGTAAAATTCTCAACAAATATCAGAATTTTTATACCTCATGGTGAAAGTCATGGTGAAAAAACAACTAATTATTATGAGCAGTGTTGCTCACACAATGACAAATACACTTTATGTTTTGGTGGCCAAACTACTAACATGATAACTAGGTTTTGAAGCATGAATTAATTTTTTTAGCTAAGTAACCACATTTTACAGACATGCAATAAAGTTCTGAAGCTCCAGCAAAGAGTTTTGAGATTTGCACTCACAGTTTAGAGATTGTTAAGACTATTTTGGAAAATGTGCCAAAGCAATTGAGAAAAACTGTAATCAACTTTTAAAACTTTTTTTAAAGGTAAATCGTTGTTGGAAGAAATATCAAGGTCTGATGCAATTTAAAAGCACAAATAATCAGGGAAAAATAAACATAAGAATCACAAAATACAGAAAACTGCAATTTTCCAAATATTAATTATACATTGATCAAATCATAAATTGCAACACATTTCAATGAAATGATCATGTTTTAGTATTTATTCATAAACAATTAAAAGGCTTCTGGAAGACCTAAGCTAAAACTGTATAAACTGTAATTAAACATGTATTTTACGTGCACATCACAATATATCCTTTAAAAGAAATAGTTTTAAGAACAGATTAATTTAAAGGGTTTGTTCACCCAAAAATGTAAATTCTGTTATTAATTAAATGCTACATTAGCAAGAGAACAGTTGAACCACTGAAGTCACATGGGATGTTTTGACAATGTTTTTAGATTCTTTCCTGGTCTTCATGAGACCATTGGTGTCTATGGAGGTTGAGGGGTTCTCAGCTTTCATCTAAAATATCTTCATTTGTTTTCTGAAGATGAACGAAGGTTTCAAGAAATTGCATCAACATGAGGATGAGTAATTAATAGCAGAATTTTCATATGTATTATTTGTAAAATCTTATTATTGTGATATTGGTGGCCGGAAAATCAACTGTAGGAAGCTGATTTACTGCAATCACTAATCAGCTAATCACTAATTTACTGCAGCAGATGAGGTCATTTACAGTTTTTCTTGTTTGCTTTGACCTGGTTATAGAAACTAAGTTCCACTTCATTTTCATTATCACTATCCCAGCAGAGCAGAAGACAGGTCTTGCAAATGTATAAACCCTTTTTCATTGGGTTGACACAATTCCCCCCACATTTTTTAAAACAGTTAACACGGATGTCATTCAAGCAGGCCAAACCCCATTGTTTTAGCTATGGTAACCAAACAGAAACCATCTATTCATAACCATTAGAAACTACCAAGATCAGTATGAATTCACTGAAGCACCGGTTTGACACTCCTTCACACAAATCTTCAATTAGCAATCAGTCTGCAAACATTAAAAACAGTGGAAGGTCTGTGTTGTTCTGTGCCAGCATGGATGTCCTATGCTCTCAATAGATTTGACTGTATATTGGTTCACATGCGTTTTCTATAATATTAACAGTACTTTATAACTTTTGTCTGTCTTTTGTTTTTACAGTAGTTCAGTTTTCAGCCACAGTTTGAAAAATGTTATGAATTCAATATACATTTAATCAAAGCATTTTTTATTCTAGATCCGATTCTTTGCATAAAGGCGAATTTGAATAAAAAGAAAACAAACTGCATTGGCAATAAGTTACAATGGCAAGCAATGGTGCACTGATTCACACTGAGTTCTGTATTTCGTTGTCCATTGTGTAACGGTTCATTGAAAAAGCTCATAGACTTGTTTTCAAGTTGTGTTTTTTGAAGGTAAAACTAGATTTTGTTGCTTATTCTAAACGTTTTGACACGGTATGTGCGTTTTGCAAGCAAAATGTGTCAACTTGACCATGAGTGCCGCTGTTTAGGCCTGTGTGTTAACTGTTTTGAAAATGTTGAGTTTCAGTTGATGGCTGAATTAAAGCAACCAAGAAAAACTGTATTTACACTATAATACTTTTATTATGTAATGTAATGTGTATTTATATAGCGCATTTATCATGTAGTGCCATACACTGAAATCGCTTCACAATCATGACAGGGGGTCTCTCCACAGCACCACCAGTGTGTGGCATCCACTTGGATGATGCAGTGGCAGCCACAAGACAATGTCGCCAGTGCGCTTTCTACACACCAGCAGTAGGTGATAAAGCCAATTTAATGGATGAGGATAATTGTTAAGGGAGGATGGAGTGAATTTGACCAGTACACCAGGGTTACACCCCTACTCTCCATGGGATTGACCACAGAGAGTCAGGACCTCGGTTTAATGTCTCACCCGAAAGTCGGTGCTCACTGACAGTATAGTGTCCTCTTCACTATACTGGTGCATTAGGACTCATTAAGACAACTGGTTGAGCGCTCTTCTGCTGGTCTCACTAACACCACTTCCAACAGCAACCTAGTTTTCCCATGTGGTCTCCTATCCAGATACTGACCAGATTCAGTCCTGCTTAGCTTCAGTGAGTAAGCGGTCTCGGGCTGAAGGGTGATATGACAGTATATAGATTATATATCTGAGATCTGACAGTGTTTGAATTAATCTCTTTGATTTCACGTCATGTGCTTTTTCTGAATAAAAATCTGTCTACAAGACATATACGAGATATTTTATGATAACAAACAACATGACTTATACTTCAGGAAACATAGGGAAGTTCAGTAAGACTGAAATGGAACTGATCAATAATATACTGTAGTTGTCTGTAGTGACTAACTCAGATTAAACAAAGAAAAAAAGAGACCTGATATTTCTCCCTATCTCACCAGAGTTTGACCGCCATGAGTTGAGGATCTACGAGGAAGTGGCCAGGGTGCCTCCGTTCCGCAGGAAGACGCTGGTTCTGATTGGTGCTCAGGGCGTGGGGCGACGCAGCTTGAAAAACAAACTACTGGTGTCAGACCCGCACCGCTACGGAACCACCACACCCTGTCAGTGCATTCACCTTTGTATTCCTGATTTATGTAGTGATAATTATGAAATGTTCATCATGTTTTAAATGAGCTTTGTACTGGTTGTTGTAACTTCTTTTTAACCTGCCTCATTTGTTGCTGTGCACAGACACATCTCGTAAACCCAAGGTGGATGAGAAAGAAGGGCAGATGTACCTGTTCATGTCCCGCAGCGAGATGGAAACTGACATTAAATGTGGTCGTTTCCTGGAGCACGGGGAGTATGATGGAAACCTGTATGGCACCAAGATCGACTCCATTCATGAGGTTGTGGACTCTGGAAAGATTTGCATTCTGGATGTCAATCCGCAGGTGCTCTTTTTTGTGTCCAGGGTCTATGACTGTAAATCTTGTAGGCCAGTTATAACTAATGCATGATGCCGGTTGTATAGTGTGTACTTACTATGCCTGTCAATACGACAGTTGCAAATAAATATTAGTTATAAAATTTCATGTAGGGTCAATCAATCATTTCATGTGCATATCAACATTTGTCAAATTCAATCAATAAAACAGTTTAAAGTTTCAAAATTCATTCTATTAATTTAATGTAAGTTTCATACATTTTCATTTTTCTTTATAGCTATTAATTTATATATATATATATATATAAGTGTTAAGATTAAAGAGTTAAATTAATCTATTTGAATGAACAGTGTGGCTTTTGTGATGTATTTTCTGTTAAATATGCACAATTAAATAAATAAGTCATCAAGCTGTAGATTCAGTTATCTTTCAGATGAATAACTTTTACTAGGATTATGTTTTAGTGTTTTATATTATTGACACAAAATATAAACATTAATTCAAAAGTCATGCAGATTTTGCAACAGAGAGGGGAAATAGTAGTAATATTAAATTCATTATTTATTTTATTCTATGTACTGCTTTTATTTGTGTTGCCCTCATTTATTTTTTACTTTATTTATTCTTTTAAATGTGAATGTGTATTATTTTTAAGGGGGCATCTCCACCCATTGTAACAGACTTTTAATGTGACACTGTGTTTTTACAGGCACTCAAAGTTTTGCGAACAGCCGAATTTCTTCCATATGTGGTGTTTATCGAAGCTCCAAACTTTGAGGTTCTTAAGGACATGAACAGATCTGCCATTGAAGCTGGTGTTGTGACTAAACAGATGACGGTAAATGTTTTTTTCCTTGAGAACTTTGTAAGTAACTTTAAAATGATGTCTCTAAAAATATGTGGTGCTACCAGATCTGCCTTCTGTTGCTTGAAATAATACTTGAAACTTTGGGTGAGCGACAAGGTTGCTAGCTTTTTGCAACAAAAGTAGTAAATAACAAGTCTGAAAAAACTCAAACTAGCCTAATAGCCAATCAAAACTAGTTCAAGGTCATTTATTTATAAAGCACATTTAAAAGCAGTCACAAGACTGACCAAAGTGCTGTACATAAGACAAGGTAAAAAAAAAAAAAAAAAAAAAAAAGACTAAATATAAAAGCATAGAAATAAGGCAAGAGAAACGTCTGTAAAATAAAAATTAGCTGTAGAACTATTAAAATAATCTTAAAAAGCCTAGCTAAAAAGGTATGTTTTAAGAAGTGATTTAAAATTGGATAATGATGGAGCCATTCTAATCTCAGGGGGCAAGGTGTTCCACAACCGAGGATCTGCCACAGAGAAAGCTCTATCCCCTCTTCGTTTTAGCCTAGACTGTGGAACTGAAAAAAGAAAAACTAAACTAGCCTGATAATATCAAAACTGCTACCATCCATTGAGAAATACCTATTTTGCATTACTGCATACATTATAAACAGGTTCTTCCTAGAAAAAAAGCTGTATATTAGTAATCATATAGATTCTGTTATCATAAAAAATAAATAATCTTGCCTTCAGTTGACAGCACAGCTGGTAGGATGTCTCACACTTTAAGGAATTCTGGCTTCTACACAATCAATTTGTGTTGGGACAACATAAAGGAACAAAGTTAAATTATTAGTTTTTACAATTTTAAGTGGATTGAACAAAAAACAATTAAGTTGTCCAAAAATCAGGAATTGTGTTGATTCAGCTCATTTTAAATAAGTAGTTTGAACAAACAGCAAGTGAGTGTCTACCATGCGCCGTAATGCAGAACAACTCCTACGGAAGTGAACCCTAAACTTGCATGTAAAATAATGTAAAAATCTAAAATAAACATTCAATATATTTATTAACTTGTAAATCACTGACGTCCTTTTGAAGACGAACAGTGTATTACTCAAGTGCACAAAATGTGCGTACTCCGTTTCCATATTCTAGCAGTTTTTATCATTGGTAGATTATATAATTGGTAGAGTAAAATATTTAACTGCACCAAAATTGATGTTGTCGCAAGGGTCACGAACATGGTAGGTATCCCGCAAGGATCACATGAGTCGCCCACGGGCCTGTTCTAAAAATGGCTCACCATAGCACCACATATCAGTAAGCTGCGTCTATTATTATTTGTAGCTATTGTTTTTAAATCACACTTGCAATGGTGTAAAATTTTAAACGACATTAGGTTGTATATAAAAAAAAGCTTTAAAAACTATTTTAGACAAATGAAGTGTTGCATATTGATATTTATCTGTTTCCTACCTTGTTAAATCATTGTTGACAGCTATTGTGAGAAATCATTAACACGATCAGTGTCTTTACATAGATGAAAATCATTCATTTCAATCATTTAATAGCATATAACCAGGCCCGGATTAAGAACTCAGGGGCCCCTGGGCACATTGTCTTGTAAGGCCCCCTACCTGGCCGCACCCCTATAGTTGAATTTAAAAAATAAGAATAATATAATAATTTTTAAATAAAATGAATCTATAATTTGTTGCCCACATATTTAAATAAATGATATATAGTACATATGTATTTATAGTCTACAAAGATTTAACTTATTTTTCAAAGCATTGAATAAAAATACTAATAAAACTATTTTTTTTTTCTTTTTTTAAGGGTATTTTAATGTATTGCTTTTACAAACTTATAAAGCATATTATTGCCATGGCATATAACGCACAATGCTTCTCTAATACAGTTCTATGAATCTGAGTCTTTCATAATACAAACACTGATTTACTGTCTCTCTCCTCCTCTCCCTGTATTTTCTCTACTCTTCTCGTGATGAAGACTTGATTATAAACCTAAAAGTATCCGAAATCACACACACTATACCTTTTCTCTCCCGTCTCTTTCCTCTTCTGGGCCTTTCTTTCTCTCTCTCTCTCTCTCTCTCTCTCTCTCTCTCTCTCCTTTTCTGTCTGTCTCTCACACGATGAATCCAGTCCGCGCTGCGCTGCCGTTAGCCTCCTCCACCTGGTTAATACTAGCTTCTCATCATTTAAAGTTACCATAACGTCTTCTTCTGTACCCTCATTCTCCTGATCAAGGGTCTGTTTAAAGATGGTGTGTATGGAAAATGCCTCAATAAAGATGCCTCCTCTCCTCTTTCTGTCGCGTTTGCTAAATCCACTTGTCCACTCATTTTTGATCTATGACAGATATAACGTTACACTAAAGTCTGCTCAGTTTAGTGCGGGTTATTACAAAACTGACGTTCCCGCGCTTGACCAATTACAGCATTCTGTTTAGTTAAAGAAAGAAAGGCAATTTAAATATAATAATAAAATTAATATGTGATCGCGATTTTTTTTTTTTGCTCAGAGGAAATACAGTTGTCTGAGCAATATAGTTTTTGCAGAGAGGGAGGCACCTTTAATAAGGCTAAACATTATTAAATACCCACGAGACACTTGTGACTTTATATCACAATTTGTATTATTTTTATAAAATATTTCCTTCCTGTTAAAAATAAATATATTTCCAATCTGATATGTAATGGGGAGAAAAAAAGTAGCACGAGTTCAGCTGATGGTGGATTCGAACCGAGTTTATGATTAATTGCGTCAAAAGATGAAACTGTGTTCCTTACAAGGTGCTCCACTGCAGCCGTACTACTGTTAAGCTCTTTACTCATCTTGTCTCTATCAATCAGGCCTCGATGGGCGTAAACCCTGAATAGTTTATTCCATCTAGATGCGCTAATTGCAATTAGCCTAAAAAGACAATCGCGAAATTGTCTTTTTTTCTCCCCCCTCGCAGGGGCCCCTAGTGGGCACGGGCCCCTGGGCCTGTGCCCATAAGGCCCATTGGTTAATCCGGCCCTGCATATAACTAAAAGTAAATTGAGAAAATTTGTTATTTAAGAAGTGTATATCAAACTGGTAGCCCTTCACATTAATCTGTACCCAAGAAGTAACTCTCAGTTTCAAAAAGATAAATTGACCCCTGCCAAACTTTTAACCTGCTGAATAATGAAACAACCTGTGGCAAGTAGTTAAAAGTAGCCGCATTCTGCAGGAAAACCCTGACAACCCTGCTGAGTGACCCATACACCAACACAATCTCACTGCTATATTTGTCATTTTTGATTTAGTGTCTACTTGGTGTAATTTCATTTGTACAGTTTAGTATGATTTTCTCATCCACCAGTGAGGGGTAGGTTTAGGGGTGAGGATTAGGGGCATACCTTCCTTTAAAAATGAATACAATAAAATCATATGAATTTGCACAAATTAGCCACTTTTTGGTAATATGTTTTTTTTTAATGTGAGATTGTGCTGGGTACACAGTCCTGCTCACCCCCTTCCTGTGATACCATGGACATTCTGTGCATCTGAAAAGTATTCACAACACTTCACTTTTTCCACATTTTTTATATTACAGCCTTATTCCAAAACGGATAAAATTCATTAATATCTTCAAACTTATACACAAAATACCCCAAGACAATGTGAACAAATGTTTTTTTTTAATTATTGTTGCAAATTTATTAAAAATAAGAAACCTGAAAAATCACATGTACATCAGTATTCAGTCTTTGCTCAATGCTTTTTTGATGCACCTTTGGCAGCAAATACAGCCTCAAATCTTTTTGAATATGATGCCACAAGCTTGTCTTTGGGAATTTGTGCCCATTCCTCTTTGCAGTACCTCTCAAGCTCTATCAGGTTTGATGGGAAGCGACGGTGTACAAACATTTTCAGATCTCCCCAGAGATGTTCAATACGATTTAGGTTTGGGCTTTGGCTGGGCCACTCAGGGACATTCACCGTGTTGTTGCTTTGGGTCATTGTCCTGCTGGAAAATGAACTGTCGCCCAGTCTGAGGTCAAGAGCACTCTAAAGCAGGTTTTCATTCGGGATGTCTTTACATTGCTGCAATTATCTTTCCCTCTATGTTGACTACTCTTCCAGTTCCGGCTGTTAAAAAACATGGGATGGTATTAGCCTTGTGATGTGCGGTGCCAGGTTTTCTCCAAACATAATGCCTGGCATTCACTCCAAAGAGTTCAATTTTAGTCTCATCAGAGCAGAGAATTTTGTTTCTTATGGTCTGAGAGTTCTTCAGATGCCTTTTGGCAAATTCCAGGTGGGGAGTGGCTTCAGTTTGGCCACTCTACCATACAGGCCTGATTGGTGGATTGCTGCACAGATGGTTTTCCTTCTGTAAGGTTCTCCTCTGTCCACAGAAGAACGCCGGAGCTTAGACAGAGAGACCATCGGGTTATTGATCACCTCCATGACTAAGGCCATTTTCCCCTGATCACTCAGCTTAGATGGCCGACCATCTCTAGGAACAGTCCTGGTGGTTTCAAATATCTTCCACTTACAGGTGATGGAGGCCGCTGTGCTCATTGGAACTTTCAGAGCAGCAGAAATGTTTCTGTAATCTTCCCCAGCCTTGTGCCTTGAGACAATCCTTTCTCTGAGGTCTACAGACAATTCCTTTGTCTTCAGGCTTGGTTTGTGCTTTAACATGCACTGTCAACCCTGGGACCTTATATAGATATAGGTTATTGTAGGTGTATGCCTTTTCAAATCATGTCCAATCAACTGAATTTAGCACAGGTGAACTCCAATTAAGATACTGAAACATCTCAAGAATGATCAGTGGAAACAGAATGTACCTGAGCTGAATTTAGAGTTTCACGGCAAAGGCTTTCAATACTGATGTACATGTGATTTTTCAGGTTTTTTTATTTTTAATAAATTTGCAACAATTTCAAAAACTCTTTTTTTTCACATTGTCATTATGGGGTATTTTGTGTAGAACTTTGAGGAAATAATTTAGTCCATTTTGAAATAAGTTGGAAGAAGAAATTGGAAAAAGTGAAGCACTATGAATACTTACCGGTTGCACTGTATATTGAATGCCTATGAGCAGAACAATGTGATCTGCTTTAAGGCACATGCCATTTTGTTTTTATGGTCAGGTGGAGTTAGCCAAAGAAAACTGTGAGATAAAACAATCTGATATAAAATCAACACCAACACGAGTGCCATGGCAGACCAAAAGAAGCCTAAGAGGATTTTGATGAAGCAAAGAAAGAGCGAGAGAGCAATTAAACACATGGCCGAACAGATTTTTATCGGACGTGCTTAAACCCTCAGACGTCGAGAGCTGAAAGAGCCAGCTGGCTGTCATATGATAAAGTTAGTTGAACACTGCAGTGTTACACGGGCTATTTTACATGCTCGTGGACATGGTTTCCAAAGAAAGTGTCAACTTAGGCTGGTTCTGTCTGGTTCTTTTACCACACTGGTAACAGATAACGCAGTTATCAACCACAAGGAGGAGCCACAAGAGAAACTTGCATAGTGTTTCTTTAAAGTCTGCGTGAAATCAAAATTAATAATGTTTATTTTGCTCACACTCATTGTTACTCTTTAGCTCAGGGGTGTCCAAAGTCGGTCCTGGAGGGCCGGTGTCCTGCTGATCTTTGCTCCAACTTGCTTCAACACACCTGCCTGGAAGTTTCTAGTACACCTAGTAAGAGCTTGAATATGTTGTTCAGGTGTGTTTGATTAGGGTTGGAGCTAAACTCTCTAGGATACCGGCCCTTCAGGATTGAGTGTGGACACCTCTGCTTTAGGTGAACCATTAATCTGTGCAAGTTAATCAACTGAAAAAAAAAAGTTTGGTTTTGTAATCTTCAATTAAAGTCTGACCATAGACCCTTTTTCACAATGACGTCACTACACTTCCCCCATCGGCAACGCAGTGTATTTTTAGTTCCGGTTTACCTTTGAATGAATGGGAGAACTCTTTGGAAAATTTACAACTGAAAATATGAACATTGCATGTTATGATTTAAGACTATTAAAAGTACTGTGCATGTGTCCAAATGTTTCTCTTTCAGTGCTGAACTGCTGAGTTTGAAAATGATTGTTTAAGTTACTAAGTATACTAATAAGCTATTGTTTATCAAGGAAATTATGTTTGCAACCTTTACACTTATCAATTAAGCTTATTTAATTAAGTTAAATTTTATTTAATCAACAATTAGTTATTTTGATGCTGCTATCAATATAAATTTATACTATCTGTTATATGTAAATGTTCCAGTATGTGTAAAATTCTTTATTAAATCTTCACATATACCTGATAAGTATGTAGTCTAAAAATGCCATCAGTTTCATCATTTATTATTTAGTGAGGTTAATTTATAAACTAATTTTGAGAGGATCACTTGCTTATGATTTATCACAGCCGGTCTGGTATTAGCTAATCATTATCTTCCAATCATTTGACCCCTAATCTACTATAAATAACCACAGTTTTCAGTCCATTTTATCTTCGTGTGGAAGAAAAACCCCCCTTCCTCCCCAATTCTCCTCCTCTACCATTGATCGGTTGGCACGGCGGCCCAGAGGTTAGCACTGTGAGCCCCACACCAAGAACACTGCCGGCCCTGGTCCCGCCAGGCTCCCCTCTCACTCTGCGAACGGGAGGAAGCCCCGGGTTTGAGGATCCCTTAAGCTCGGGGCTCTCTCCTGGGACAGCATGTCAAACAAGCTTTTGATAGATCATCAGCTAAGTGTGAACTCTTGAACTGATCTATTAATTTTGTCCAGTTTCTCCAATTTAAATGAATTAAGATGTGACCATTAATTTTGATATTAGTGCTACCTTATATTTAAAAATGTTACAAATTTTTATAATCTAATAACACTGAATTAAAATGCAGTCTTCTTGGTGTAATTTATTGTAGACTTTTATAAGTATTTCTTTGATTATTAAGAGTCACATACAACATTATTCTATTTAATTTACAGTTTTTCTCAGGCACTTAGCATTTCTCACAACACTATTTACATTTGCACAACAGTTCATGCATTTCTCAAAACAATTAGTGCAAACTTCAAAAACTAGTTACAGTTTTTCTCAGTCGCTTTGGTGCGTTTCTCACAACACCAGTGAATTTTTGCACAACATTTAATGATTTTCTCAAAACAATTAGTACAAAATGCAAAACCTAGCTGATAACCTCCAAAAGCGCGTCACATGCTCAAAATGGATAGTTCATTCCTCAAAAGCAAGTATTGATGTCAATGAATGTGTCAGTATCATCAATATGAAAAGTCCTGTCACCATTGTTTATGAACAAGATAGTCAAATGGCTTAGTCATGTTTTCATCATGACAGTTTACTCTGGACATTTTTCCAATGCTATAAAGTCAGATTTTGGTGACACTTCCTGAAAATGCTCAAGACAGCACTCTATACTATTTGCACAGCCATTTGAAAACTACAGTAAAGTTAGACATCACTGCATTTAGTGAGTTATACGAGTACAAGACACTGAATATGTATGTTTCACATTTTTACTCTGCATTTGCTCTTTACAATCGTAATTTATTCACAGCTTTGTGCAAAAGAATAAACACACCCTTATTTACAACAAACATAAACTCCCTTTGGGTAGAGCTGTGCACAACTGTAAACAATATTGCAGTACATATCAGAACTAAACCTACAACATACATACTGTAGGTCTGTAAGTCATTCATGAAATTGTTCAATTTAGAAGGAATTTTCAGAGAAAAAAAAAGTATTTTAATTGTTTTATAAAATTTGCTTGACAGATTTTGACAACTTGTTCAACATTTTTGAATGTATTACTCAAGTAATGAAATGAGGACTATTGGTTTTATATGGAATGACTATTCAGCATTTACAGGTTTAGCTCATTTTGACTGACATGACATAAGCAAATGATAATGTTATAAATAGCAGAGAGTTGTTTGAAAGCAATTGATGCATGTCCAAAAGCATTTGCAATTTGTTGGAAGGAATAAGAAACTGCTACTAGGACGTGCACAAATGACTAATTGTTTCAAGAAATGCATTAACTGTTGTGCAAATGCAAATAGTGTTGTGAGAAACGCACCAGAGCCACTGAGAAAAACTGTAATATGAATATTAAATAGAGATATGTTCATGAATAAAATATTTACATCGAAAAAGTGTCACAGAACTGAGCAGTAGAATGTGTATATTATGAATGTGTTTGTGAATCAGCTGTCCGATGTAAACAACAAAACAGTAAAACAACCAGTTTTATTCATTGCTTATTCTTCAGGACACAAAAAATATACAAATAAATTTGACAATAAAAAATGTTCAGCACCCGTGTAAACATCTGAAATCTTTATTTGACAAATGCTGAAAAGCACACACCAACTCCATTTAAAGTCCCATTTTCTTGGTTAAAACATTTATTTTAGATGTCAGACATCTCACTCTGAAAGCAGACAACAGAAAACAGCCATAGTTATCATCAAACTGTATCTGCTATAAATATACAGCTGACGTGGAGTAAAACCAGACACTGTGTAACCATGTGAAAAAGGGTTTATTTGCTTCCTGCGGTCCTTCTCTGTTGACATCAGTTTGACTGCTCCAGCCACAACCCCACTTACCATTAGTTTCCTAAGAGGGATTGATACACCTTAGGAAAGCCCTGTCCCCTTCTCAATAATTAATTTCAGGTGGAAGTACATCAACATACTAGGATAAAAGTCTCTGCAACTTCCAGCAAAGAGCTTAGAATGACCAAGAGGCGACACTCTAGTGTAATTTGAGAAACAGCCACTAGATGTCGCGGCGGCCATTTTGGAATGAAAACTCCAATAGAACAACAGCATATTATAATTCTGTAAAATAAACTATTAAAAGTGCTGATGATTGTGATAATAAGTGTTGTATTGTCGTCTTTCAGGTTGTATCTCAGCTTTAATGCGCTTTTTAAATAGATAAATAAAAAACAAAGCAGCTGCTTGCCATTGCGAAAGTAATGATATCCAACGGACGGCCGATCACTTTCACTCCAAAATGGCGGAATCCAGGGCTGTTGCTGGGCGCTGCTGTTGCAATGGAACTTTCTATTGAATGTCACCTCTTGGTCATTCTAAGCTCTTTGCTTCCAGTTCACACAGACTTTAAGAATTACTGTCGTTGTTTGAATCATTGATGAGCGTTGATGATTTCTCTCTGATACTTCCCAGGATTCAGAACTGAAACGGACGGTGGACGAGAGCGAAAGGATCCAGAGGGCGTACAGTCACTATTTTGACCTGAGCATAGTGAACGATAACCTGGACGGAGCGTACCGCAGCCTTAGACGGGCCCTGGACAGACTCAACACAGACCAGCAGTGGGTTCCCGTCAGCTGGGTCTTCTAAGTCTCCTTACAGTGGCCAGAGCTCCAGGTAACTGCTGTAATCTACATGAACTTGCCTGTTCCTTCAAATTTTTGCACAAAAAAATCAAATAAAACGTGACAATACAACACAAAGCTAGATTATTATTATTTTGTAAAGAAGCGAACTGATCTGTATATCTGTATTGTTCTAAAGGAGTTCTGTACAGTGCTGTATGTTTGTTATTCCTGTGAAAGTAGGGCTGTATATTTGTATAGAGACTGTAGAATATGTTTTAGCACCCTACGTTATGCTGAAGATATTCAGAGCCATGTTGGATGTATCGATGCTATATGATCATAGTGTTATGCAGGGATGGTTTAGTTTTGATGTATCAAACGCAGAACTGAAGAGTGTTTTGGCGTGTCTACGGTTGTCATATTCCTGTGCATGTTCTGGTTTGTTTGTATTCTTTCTCGTAACCTTTGTTGGTACTTTATATTTCTGTTCAAAAACGGCAACAATGATGTGTATTATTTGATTAGTCTGATGGACTAAAATACAAAAAAAAAGATCTAATTTTATCATTCCAATCCAGCAATTCTAGAATCCTTCACTGTGATCAATCGCAGCGCTCTGCAGTCGTATATTTTTCTATAATGACGCTGTACTGTATAATTGACCGTTGCCCAAGGGAAGGGAATCCCTATAGCTGTACTAGTTTCACCAAGTCTCTCATGTTACTCCACACTCTTTCTTCTCAAATAATAAAATACTATCAACTCAAATCAAATCAGAAGTTCATGTCCACTCATTTATTGTATTGTATTTTTTTTACATATTACAGTTTTTAATTGTTAAAGGTCGGGACACACCAAGCTAATTGCCGTCTGTTGGGCTTCATTGGTATGTCTAGTTAGCTTGTAGAATCAGCATCATTTGAATAAAGTGTTCTGATTGCTTATTCAGCAATAAAAAGCTCTGTTTAGGAGGGAGTGTCGGAGGAGCAAAAAAGGGAGGGTCTGGAAAAAATTTGCATAAAAATGGGAGTGTCGGTTTGGCCATGCGCTGATTTTCACAGAGGCAAAACACACACACACACACACACAGGGGAGAAAGACAGTGACTGTGTTTACATGGACATTTATTCATTCATTCATTTTCTTGTCAGCTTAGTCCCTTTATTAATCTAGCGTCGCCACAGCGGAATGAACCACCAACTTATCCAGCACGTTTTTACGCAGCGGATGCCCTTCCAGCCACAACCATCTCTGGGAAACATCCAACCACACACACACTCATACACAACGGACAATTTACCTTACCCCAGGGGTGTCAAACTCAATTCCTGTAAGGCTAAAGCCCTGCACAGTTTAGTTCCAACCCTGCTCCAACACACTTACCTGTAGGTTTCAAACAAGCCTGAAGGACTCAATTACTTCGATCAGGTGTGTTTAATTAGGGTTGGAACTAAACTGTGCAGGGCTGCGGCCCTTTTGGAACTTAGTTTGACACCTGTGCCTTACCCGATTCACCTGTGCAGCATGTCTTTGTACTGTGGGGGAAACCGGAGCACCCTGAGGAAACATACCCGAACGCAGGGAGAACATGCAAAACTCCACACAGAAATGCCAACTGACCCAGCTGAGGCTCAAACCAACAACCTTCTTGCTGTGAGGCGACAGCACTACCTACTGCGCCACTGTGTCACCCAGTTTCTTGAACCTTTAAATCACAATTAATTAAACAATTCTTTATGTTCTCGCAACTATAAACAAAATCTCATAATTATACACCAACTTGCACAAACCGGAGAAAATGAATGCACGTCAGCGTCAAGGAAAAATCAGATGCGCGAGACAAAATAAAGAAATATTAAAAAATGAGCAAATATGACAGAGGTTTGTGATACAACAAGTACAGTGAAGCATTATTGAAATCCTTATTTTCCGATTAGTGAAACAACTCATTCACCTGTACAGTTGAGTAGTGGACGAGCACAAGCACAAAAATTATTTGTATCTTTTTTAAACAAATTTTGTTTGGTATAATTTGTATCTTAATTTTAATGTATTTTTGTTGGTCAGTTATCTACTGACAAGAATAACGAATAACATCTGAGGTGAAGTGCTTCAAAACCAGTCTGCTATATGCTTCAGCGCCAACACACAAACTGGCTTGTTAAATAAAATAAAATAAAATCTAGCCTAAATAAAATTAAAGTTAAATATTAACAGTTTCAGAAGAACTTAAATTATTTTAATTTTTAATGACAAAATTAGTCTTTGTTGGTGAGTTTCAATTTAATTAGTTTAATCAAGTAATTTGAATAAGCAGGAAATGCTTTTAAAATGTATTTGTAGCACTGAACGCGTTTCCAGATTACTTCGAAAAAACTAAATCGGTCGAAAGGCTGAGAGAACTCAGAAACTCGTTGTGAGAATGGAGATGTCTGTTTATTTGTGCCAGTCTGTCAAATAAAATTGCTTAAAACACTTTAATATTTTATAAAAAAAAGTAGCTAAATTTTGCATAACCATTGATTAATCTTATCCACCCGAGACCCACCCGTAAGTAAATCCCGTGGATTAATGGCAGCACCTGCAGATATAGCTGAGAAATGATGTGCTCCTGTTGTGCAGTGTCACCCACGTGACAGATATTGTGAAGATCCGGGTAAAAATTAAACATGCTAAACTTTCTGCGATAGTGTCATGAGGCATCGCAGACATGGTATTGGTTGTCGTGAACTATGCCACATTACACGAGAAGAAACGATTGAATCTTGTGTTATGATGCCCGTTTGTTGTTTACAACTCCCCACGACACCCTACGTCAAGGAAATTGTGACAAAATTGTGTGATCCGACCAGGGCTTTACTAAAACCTCTTCCTGCTAGTCTAGAATCAGTGTAAGGGTGAAGGGACAATAAAATACAAGGACAAGCATTTAGAAATTTTTTATTTTTAAAATTACATGGCTATAATACATAAACTCTTTCCAAAAATAAAACTAAATAATAATAAAAAATTTTAAAATATTACAACTGTAAACATCTGCAATAGAAACTGAGTATGAACTCAGTACACATCAAAAAGAGTTTACTCTCAGTAAACAGTACACTAAAACTTAAAGGAAAAAAAACACTAATCAGCAGCACATCTCTGGGAAGGATCGTCTAGGCAATCGCCTTTCTTAGTTCTACAAAAATACAGCAGGCCTACTGGAAGAAATAAGCAACAAAACAAATTTCAGTTGTTCCGTTTTTACAGCATGTGATAGAGTATACTCAAAAGATCAACAACAATTGACTCTTCTAAATTTACAGTAAATATATAGCTAACATTTTATAAAACCTATAGATTCTATCACAGTGTCTTTGGAAAATATTCAATCTCTTCTATAATGTGAATTTTGAACACATGCATAACTTTGTGCTGATAGTGTTTTGCATGTGATAGTTTAAGTTAATTATATAATGTGTTTGTGTTTTCTGAACGAGAACATGGTTAAAGGGCACCTCGTTTACCTCTTTTCCTAGATAAGACTTTGGTATCTCTAGAATGTGTCTGTAAAGTTTCAGCTCAAAATACCCATCAGATAATTTATTATATAAGGCAGAATTTTAGTGCCTATTTTGGTGTCTGAGGACTGTGCATCTATTTGTAGCCTGTGGCTTTAAATCCAAATGGGCTGCTTCTCCCGCCTACTGCTCTGACGTGCGTGTCTGTTTTACATAAGATAAACAGCAGTCTGTGATAGAAACAGACACAGGTGAAGCTGATATACAGCTCTTTAGTCAAAAATACCAAGTAAGTTAATTTAATGTATTTGTGGTGGAGTTTATTCAAGCCTTTCTGAAATGATGAGTCTCACACAAACACAATTTGCAGTACAAACACATACAAATATGTGTGTTTACTGACACCATGCAGCTGTGGTGAATATAGCGGTTAAGAATTACATGGTGATTTGCTGATTTGCTCTGTTTTAAAAACGTTTTAAGCTTATAAAATTATTTATTGATGTGCATCTGATCACAGAAAATTGTAACATGTTTTAATCTCAGTTTCTTTGCAAACATTCTCTGTGGACATGTGATTACACAATACTTATTATGGAGACATGGCACCTGTCAATCAATTCGGTGGAAAACCACATTTCTACATCACATTGCGGTTGTCCTCAAAATGGGAGTGATTTGGATCCTATTTTAACGTCAGTAAATTTTCAAAATGAGACTTCTTGTGTTTATTTCACTCCAATATGACTGTGGACACACTATACCTACACACAGTTCTGTCCAAACAGCTTACAAAAATTGATTTTCTTTATAGGTGCCCTGTGTAAAATTAGGGCATTTTTGAATAGAGTTTTGTAGGTTAAGAAACTGATACTTGTATAAAAACAGTTCAATTGTGATTTGAGTTTTGAGAACTGAAGAATTGGTTTGGACAAAATTTAAAAAATAGACAAAAAACTGTAAGCTTATCCGGTGATTTAGCCTAGCTCTAAAATTTGCGATCTCATTTAAAATTGTGTGTATTTTAATTAGGGGTGGGCCGTTATCGCCGTTAACGTGAGACTTATCGCATGATAAATAATATTGTTGTAAATCTATTTTCAAAGTTGAGTTGGGAGCTGGGTCTATTCTTCTTAAGCCATGATGACTTTGACCTTGATATTTTAGCGCAGATGTATACCTGACCGGTTAGCCGTCTGACAAAAAATGCCCTTCTGAATCAAATCAGCAGGATGCCTGTCTTTAACTGCATTTCGCAAGTTTCACTTTAACTCATAAACATTTTATTCATGCCCCCGTAACAAACTGGGGTATTAGACACAAATAAGGAGTAAGGACTGGTGAGAGTGTTATGGAATTTGATAACCCACACCAAATGGAAAGAAAAAAACTTCTACGTTTCACGATGTGTGTGTGTGTGTGTGTGTGTGTAATATGGTCCTTTACTGACAACCGCGAGATGTGAAAATGTGGCAAAAAGTCCTACATGAAGGTAATATTGCGGTGTTTACTTCAATAATGCCACTAATATATGCATACTCCACGTGCCTTAATAATATTTCTGTTTAGTCGGATTAAGGTGATCAAAAAAAAAAAAATTGCTGTTTAGAGCTTATGTAGGCCTACAGTTCAAAATTCATGCTTAACTGAATAAACAGTTAGTAAACACAAGTACATCTTATTGAATGTCATTTATTTTCATCACCAATTATCATAGTAGAACAGTTTCTCAAACAGTGTGTTATGCATTTTGAAAACAGGAGATGAGCCCCTGGTCTAATGCGCCACCTGGCTTGAGAAACCTGTTCTTAAAGACTTATTATTTGGGTAGCACACATATTCTGAATGCCTGAATATGTGTATATTCTGAATTGAATCGGCAGAATTCAAATGAGCCGTTTTAATCTAGATTAATTCTAAGATTACAATGAGATTAATCTAGATTTAAAAAAATGTATCTATGCCCACCTGTGATTTTAATGTAAGCAGTCATCCACAATTTCCATCAAAAACATCATTTAATTCAAAAGTTTACATTAATTGAAACATTTACATTAGAAAATAGGTGCCTTGAACTGGCCCTGTCTTACCAAAGATACTTCCAAACATCTCAAGAGTATTCATAATAAATCTATATATGTCTCGTCTCACATCATGAGGTAGTTCATAATGCAGTTTTTAACATTCAAACAGAGGAATGTAAAGAGTTTAACAACAAAAGACCTGCTCCATTTGCATGTACATTTAGGTTCTGAAGAGAAAAAG